CACATAGGCACTCAATTACTCAACTACTCACTTACTCACACACTCACTCACAGTCCACCAATCCACAGACTTCAGTTCTCCTGTTAAAGCATTAACATGTGTCAAAGCTTACTTGTTGATCCACTGGTGGCACACTGACCTCAACACCTTCTCGTCAAATACAACAACCATTTCCATTCCTACAATCATCACAGAGACTACTGATTCCATGATTGCTCATTGCAAATTCATCACCTATCATCCACAGCTCGCCTTGTCCTATCCTATAACTCTATCACAGGAAAGAAATAACCACACATTTGCATAGTTAACAATCAACAATAATATACTAACTAGTCACTCAGTTACCCACCAATAACACTACCATCAACAACTACTAATTCATTTCCAAATCCAACGAATCCTATCCCGGACAGTAAGGCCATTCTTCCACCCAATACAAGCGTCTATAACACAATTAATTCACACTAGTCTAAAACGAGAAATAAACAATCAGGCAACTAACACCCTACAAAAATTAATACCATCATCTATTATATATTATTACGCGTCAACATTTGTGACATACCTGATTGATTCTTTCGCGGCATAACACACAGAAATACATACCTGTACACCAAACACCACAATTCAACGCCACGCCTACTCCTTCCATTTCTCCGTGATCATCACAACACCCAACACTCACTAGCCACATGAAAACCTAAATATCACTAGTGGAAATATACACACAGAGAGAAGAAATTCCACAATCTCGATTCACATAGGCACTCAATTACTCAACTACTCACTTACTCACACACTCACTCACAGTCCACCAATCCACAGACTTCAGTTCTCCTGTTAAAGCATTAACATGTGTCAAAGCTTACTTGTTGATCCACTGGTGGCACACTGACCTCAACACCTTCTCGTCAAATACAACAACCATTTCCATTCCTACAATCATCACAGAGACTACTGATTCCATGATTGCTCATTGCAAATTCATCACCTATCATCCACAGCTCGCCTTGTCCTATCCTATAACTCTATCACAGGAAAGAAATAACCACACATTTGCATAGTTAACAATCAACAATAATATACTAACTAGTCACTCAGTTACCCACCAATAACACTACCATCAACAACTACTAATTCATTTCCAAATCCAACGAATCCTATCCCGGACAGTAAGGCCATTCTTCCACCCAATACAAGCGTCTATAACACAATTAATTCACACTAGTCTAAAACGAGAAATAAACAATCAGGCAACTAACACCCTACAAAAATTAATACCATCATCTATTATATATTATTACGCGTCAACATTTGTGACATACCTGATTGATTCTTTCGCGGCATAACACACAGAAATACATACCTGTACACCAAACACCACAATTCAACGCCACGCCTACTCCTTCCATTTCTCCGTGATCATCACAACACCCAACACTCACTAGCCACATGAAAACCTAAATATCACTAGTGGAAATATACACACAGAGAGAAGAAATTCCACAATCTCGATTCACATAGGCACTCAATTACTCAACTACTCACTTACTCACACACTCACTCACAGTCCACCAATCCACAGACTTCAGTTCTCCTGTTAAAGCATTAACATGTGTCAAAGCTTACTTGTTGATCCACTGGTGGCACACTGACCTCAACACCTTCTCGTCAAATACAACAACCATTTCCATTCCTACAATCATCACAGAGACTACTGATTCCATGATTGCTCATTGCAAATTCATCACCTATCATCCACAGCTCGCCTTGTCCTATCCTATAACTCTATCACAGGAAAGAAATAACCACACATTTGCATAGTTAACAATCAACAATAATATACTAACTAGTCACTCAGTTACCCACCAATAACACTACCATCAACAACTACTAATTCATTTCCAAATCCAACGAATCCTATCCCGGACAGTAAGGCCATTCTTACACCCAATACAAGCGTCTATAACACAATTAATTCACACTAGTCTAAAACGAGAAATAAACAATCAGGCAACTAACACCCTACAAAAATTAATACCATCATCTATTATATATTATTACGCGTCAACATTTGTGACATACCTGATTGATTCTTTCGCGGCATAACACACAGAAATACATACCTGTACACCAAACACCACAATTCAACGCCACGCCTACTCCTTCCATTTCTCCGTGATCATCACAACACCCAACACTCACTAGCCACATGAAAACCTAAATATCACTAGTGGAAATATACACACAGAGAGAAGAAATTCCACAATCTCGATTCACATAGGCACTCAATTACTCAACTACTCACTTACTCACACACTCACTCACAGTCCACCAATCCACAGACTTCAGTTCTCCTGTTAAAGCATTAACATGTGTCAAAGCTTACTTGTTGATCCACTGGTGGCACACTGACCTCAACACCTTCTCGTCAAATACAACAACCATTTCCATTCCTACAATCATCACAGAGACTACTGATTCCATGATTGCTCATTGCAAATTCATCACCTATCATCCACAGCTCGCCTTGTCCTATCCTATAACTCTATCACAGGAAAGAAATAACCACACATTTGCATTGTTATATATATTTGGTGCCCTCTTATACCAGTATCTATGTGTTCAAATGAATAAATAATTAGACCCCACAGTATTTTCATTTATTTATGGAGTTGTTTTTTTTTTACCGTTTCAATATGTTTGTTCAATCGTTTGTTTTCTTTCACATTTCCCGCATCTCTTTAAACTCGTTTGCATATATTTTAAATGTACTAATTCATTTTTTCTTGTCGTAGTCTCTTTAGCCTTCTATTGTTTCACTGTCAAACCTTGTAATAATATGCGCAAACTTTTGTGTTTTTCTTATCTGGTTTTTGAAGCGACACCAGGCGGAATCAGCAGTCATTTTTTTCGTCAGCTTGTGGCTTCTGTGCACTGCTCCAACTGCAACAACTATCCAGCTTACCGTCTTCGAACGTCTTAACGGACTTCCACTAGTACGTATACAATTTATTGCAGTCCTGATCATTCTTGATCAATTCTAAACGTAGTTTCGTAGTGTATGCTGTTTTAAAGAAAGAAACTTTCAGGGGTATTTTTGAGACCAAACTAGTCAGTTAAATGTCAGTTAGAAAGACCTAGTTCGAGCACTGTTCACAACGAGTGCTGCAGTACAAAATATTAGCCGGACGTAGACCAGATATCTAAACGACAACATTTGGCTTCGTGGTACACATTAGACTTTGAAACATAGAGCACTGCAATGTCGACCTCTCATCCCAGTATCACAAAGTAGTGGTCATTCACTATACACATGATCATAAAGCTCTTCATTGTCTTGACTAATAATCTAAATCTCATGAGAAATCAACCGACAAGTAAGCGCTCACTGTACAAATCTCTGCTCTTTACATCAGAACACTGCTTACCGGACTGACACTTGAAAATCAGGAACTTGCATATTTAGAAGTTACTAGGATATGACTTTACCCGAGATGCAGCACTTACAATAGCTTCAGACAGCACGATGCCACCACTTCTATTAAGGGAATACATACTATCTTACCGGCGTTGAGACTTGTCTCCCATTGCAAATCTGTAGGTGACTAACAGCTTAAACGACTAACAATGGTTTTGTACCATGAATGACAGGATGGATCTACAGAGACTGACTGACCCTAATAACCAGGATACTCACTGACTATAAGCCAGTCAATATCAACTAAATATCCAAACACAAACGAAGTACGAGAACAGACATCATCAACAGAGCCCCGTACAGGGATGAATTGACCAGAGTAGTCCAACCTGATCGAATTCAAGATCGACAGGAATACCTTAAGCCGAAGAGATAAATAATATTCCATATGAATAAAGGCTGTCCACTTGAGTTTTAATATACCAAAATATGTTTACAAAGGTGTGGAATCAGTCTCACCAAATCTTTTTCACAAGTTTACAACTAGAGCAGTGAAGACGAGAGATGAACTAGGATTAATGTGTGTACATCCTCTGGGCGCTCTCTCAATTAAAGTGAATATTAACCACTGGATGCTTTAAGACGTTAACCAAACCTAAGAAACTTATTAGGGTCCCCGAGAACTGGACAGGTGGCACTAATCTTATAGGCATGCGTTCTTGGGCTGAGAATTTTAGTTATCTAGTCTAAATGTAAAGGTATGTAACCCGACGTAACTCACAAAATAAACTGTGAATAGAAAGACATAACATTTAAGAATCTTACAGGACATATTGTAAGAATGGACGACTTCCAAATGAACGGTACCAGCGCTCCTAATATTCAGGAACCTTTGTATGCTGTAGACAATAAAATTAACAAGAAGTTTGTGAAGTTAATGGATACAATTTACTGGTCAATGTGCCTACGAAAAGTTTTATTAACGCCACAGGGGAAAAGTGGGGGACGTTTACCATGTTTTTTGATTGGTTTATCTATTGGGTGAGCAGGAAGCACGCCCCAGAATGTAACACACTGCGAGAGTGATCCCATGACACCTAACAAATAAACAGGCATGTGAAGATAGACATCAACATGAAGGATTATCTTAGTAGTTAACTCACATTTTTTGCCGAAATGAGACTTCCTGAGGCTCCTTTATGTGATGATGGATGCACGACTGAAATGATTTTCACGCTATCAAATTTTAAACAAAAAGTTTTACTACATGAATTTTAAACCCATCTGACCCTAAATTCAAGGGCTACTCAGATTTCTCAAGTAATTATGTCAAATGTCACTGCGAAAACAGCACTTACAAATGAGGAGTCAAACATCGCCCAGCAAAAAGAAACCCCGTTCCAATTTACACGGTTGCAGGTGTTGTCTATCTGTTTTAGAGAGAAGAACATAGAGTTTCAATGATATATTAATAACAAACAAAAGTGAAATTAGTGAGATGTGATACATGCAAAAATTGATCAGGAGTTTTTTAAATAATGGATATCATCCAGGTGGACCGGGACACAAACACCTATCAATACCATGTTTTTCTCAAAGCTCCGAACAAACAGTTGGAATCCTTCGACACATTAAAGCGTGTAGGTACGTATGAGTAAGAAACATATTCCCGGTTGTTTGGTCCTACAAATAAGAAGCAAAAGTAAAACTGTTCATTTGAAGGCATATGTGGATAATTTCGAATCTCAGTACTTAGGCGATTATGCATAATCCGTCAACTAAGAATCGGCTGCTTCCATGAACGACAGTGTGAAATTTTATTCGAAGACTAACCAGTCGGTAGCATGAAATGAACATTTAGGAAGCGGAAGCATACATTTAGATTACCGTTAAGTCGACCAAATACCTAGTGTCGTTAGGCTCTTTCAAAGCTAATGATTACGAACCAGAGGCAAATTGAAATGTTGTCCAACTCATCCCAGTACCCTCGGACATTGTATGACATCAAGGAATTGATCCCAATATAGTTACCTTAATCCGAAAAATATTCTATTATTAACACATATGAGTAGCCGTGAAGAGTATGGCTTGCCAATTAGCAAACACACATAGTAAGTTGGTATTTTACGAAAGATGCCTTCCATTTCCAGCTGTCAACTATTTGACACTTACCTGTCACTTAGTTCGAGTCCACTGACCTTATATCAGGTAAAAGCGATAAGTTATACTCCAATTATTGACAAATGCGATGAGTAAGAAAATAAGTAGTACGCAGCTCCTCGCAATTAACATGGACAAATCTCAAACATGTTAGACATCTCTGCAAAATAATCGTTGACTAGATGCCCCTTAGCTATAACTACTACTTTCTTAGGAGTGACTAGAGCTTAGTTATCCAAATAAAATTCTACCGTGAAATAGTAAAGGATGTTTGAGGCTAAAGTGAAGTTGTATAGGCTTATAACAGTACCGTACCATTACAAGTTGTGAAACTAGATTGCAGTATTTACAAACGCAAGAAAGCCAAGTTACCAGTTAGCCAACCAACCACTTTCAAGTTTTTAGGATTAGCATACTATTTCTTTTCTTAGTTATGCAGTTCCCTAGACATGTTTTATAATTAAACAGCACGTTAGTTCAGAAGACCCACCTCTAAAAGCCGGAACTAGGACAACTCCATTACACGTTAAACAAGAGCGATTCAAATGACTGTGGGCAGAATGAAACAAGCTTTCGCTTAGAGAGCTTCAGTGTCCAGTAGCAGTGGACCACCAATACTTCCAGGCAGCAATCTAGGTATATAAACGACAAAAGAAAAAGAAATTGGCAAAGCACAGTAAGTACTATCCTTAGTCTTAATGTGTCAAGTTTTCTCTTAAAGGACTACCGTGAAGTCGCTTGGACTAGCTCAACCGGTAGCGAATTCCAGCATTTGATTACTCCTAAGGAATAGAAGTTGTATCTGTTGTGTCCATTCTGCTGAGTAGTGTCTCCAGTTAATGGGTATTATCCCTTAGGTTTGTGTTAGAGCCAAAATCAAGCAGGTGTTTCGAGGGATGTCAATAAGTGGTAATGATGCTGTAGGCTACCTCCAAAAAGCATGTACTCTAACGGGTAATGATTTAGTGCGTTCTTCATAAGTTTTGAATTCGAGTGCCCGGACTGCTTTCGTAACTCACCGTTTAATACGTCCCAGAGTCCTTATCCTTTTGGAGTGAGGTAGGAAATACTATGTTTCTGTGATCTAAATGGGGACAATGTAACTGTTGAGCATTGTGTGGAGAGTTTCTCCATCAAACTTGCCAAAAATGCGCTTCAACGTTACCAGTGAAAGGTTCGCTCGAAAAGGGAAAGTATCGAAGGCAATGTTACTCCGGTCCCAACCTTTAAATAATAACAGTCAATAGTGTATACAATGCACACTCGGGATCTTTTAATCCAGTTAGACAACACTCAGTAGCTAAGCTCGGTCATTATTGATCATCTCCGACCGACCTCGTATAACGAATGAGTGGTAATATTTGATGCCAAATGCACCTGCTAACGATAACCTGTATAACTTACGTAACTGACCGAATTAACTACTAAAACTTTCTCAGCAACAGTGGATGTACCTCACTCAAGTCATTACGATTTTCCATACCCATCTTGTTACAATTAGCTGAAACCTATAGTGAGTACCTCAAAAGTGGAAACCTACTACTTCACATGCTTTTGTCTCTCCATACTGTCTGGGCTTTTTTATGGCAGGTGAGACAGAAGCGCTAGAAACCACAAATAGAAACGACAAGCGGTAAACTCCAACTTCCATAGGAAGTTGGGGCTATGGCGGACCATTTTAAACAACATTCAATGTTTATAAACTGTTTGTCGGGAATAACAGACTGATTTTTCACGGGAATGCATATCTAAGAATATGGTGATTTTACTCTTGAAAAAGTCATGAAAAATCACTTGAACCACTTCAACTTAAAGATTATGTTAGCACTAGATTACTTGTAAAGAGTAGGTATGTCTACAGTCCATTTTGACATGCCGTGCCTCTAAAACGAATTGATTAACTGGCTCTCACAAATAAATTCCCACAAGTGTCCTTATTCATAAGACTTTACAGATTGATAAGAGTAGTAGACTCGCGTTACTTGTGGCAATAAATTTCTAAGCATTGTACGTTTGCATTATTTGTATGTATAATGTATAGTTAAGAACATTACAATCAATTCATTGACTTGTTGGTATTCTAATCCATAATTCTTGTGTGAGCGCTCGAATGAAGTTCCCGGTCACATCACTTCTCAGCCTTTCGTTATTGTAAATCTATTTTATTGCTTAGTCGCTTTTTTGCTAAAGGTATACACGTGACTGGAGATTGTTTTATAACTCTCGAGGTTAAATACACAAAACCGAGATGCTATGGATCTCAAGATTTTACGTTTATTCAAGGCTCAACAACACTACACAGAAGCTTACTAACTAGAACGTGGCACTGACATGTACAGTTCTTCGTGGTAGTGGGTGGTTCGCCGCGTGCGTTCGACACTCACGTTGAATCTAGTTTTTTGTCAGTAATGTGCCGGAACCCCCATGGCGCTGAAAAATTTCATTCTTAAACGCAGGGAACTGTTCAGTCGACAAGGATTAGACAAAGTATACTAAAATATCGAGCTACATAATAGGCATAACTCTAGGGTGAAAATTAATCATCTTGTTGAATTTAAAATTTTCCTTATTGGGGGTTGGTTCTTGGTAATCGGGAATCGCCATCATCTTGTTTTCTTGTGGGCTAACGGATCGACCCCCAGTAATATCCCAGGGGGTCCGTTGGGTTGGTTTCAGTTTTGGGTTTCAGTGTGCTCAAAGTAATCCTGCTTTTATGTTCTTTCTACAAATACTTGACAAACCAGTTGAAGATGTGTTTTCTTACTATGCTTGTGATTCAACCGTCTTCAGCTAATTTGCTTGCTTATGCAAGATTACTAAATATGTGATCGCCAGAAGGTTTGGGAAGTTGCTGTTTCCTAGCTAGGAAGTTTGATTATAGACTTGAAGAACTATGGTCTACTATGATATAAGCACTAATCTAATAGTAGACCTAATCCTAAAATTGTAGATTTGTTATGATATAACCTTTTAATCTGTAAGATCTTACGTGGAAGTCACATTATCGTCTACACCAACACTCTGCATCCCAACAATTACCAATACAAGATGGAGAACAAGCGTAGGCTAGAGATAGAACAATATATTTAGTATGAATTAAAGATATAAAGCAACAATTCAGTAGGGACCACGCCTGCATGGCCGAGCCATGCCATCCAATCAACTCCGATTTATTCAATTCATTTTCGCCTCCTTCTCCATTCTTAAGTATTTCTCCACGTTAAATATTGAATATCTATTCTCTGAGTAGTTTCGTGTTCAGCCTTGAGGGTTGTGTGGTTATGGTTCAATGGCACTACACTACTCTCCCACCAGAATCAACGTGATGTTGATTCGATACCAAATCGGATGAGATTGTTGCGCGCAGGAGGTTACCAAGAATAAGAATCCACCGGGTATTGATAAGCTGAAAGATAAATCAAAAGGGCGGCAGCATCTGATCAGGAAATACATGTAATAACTTTAAGATGTTTGGTCCTCAAAATAGATGAAGGTTGATCTAAAGGGATTGGAAGATAAGCATCTTTTAGGTCGACTTTCGAGAACACTTTAAAACCATGAAGTCGATTTAAAATATCTTCAGCTTCTACCGTCGTGAACGTTTGCTTCGACAAACCACAGTTCAGTGTTAATATATAGTCACCACATATTCTAGGGGTCTTGCCATCAGACTTCAGTGGCGTAACAATAGGAGTACCCCATACTTTTCGCACACAAGTCGTTCAATGTCTTGTGTACTGCCTCTCGTAGGCCATAAGGTGCGTGGTAATAGGTTAACTTATAGGTAGTATCTATTTTGTGTTTAGAAATATTAAAACAATCAATATTGTAGAAATGTTAATATTGGCACTAACTTTGGTTTAAATTATGAAATCAAATAACGTTTATGTCAGGAAGTTGTTCATATGAGTTGATCTCCAACTGCATCTGTATTAGTAGGCTAACTGAAAGAACAAAGGCGTTATCGTGGAGAATTTCAACTAGTGTTCTAGTTAGTTTGATACGGTTTACTTAGTTATGGGGAGATTTTCTCGACCTCATTTTTACTTGACCGTGATAGAATTTAGCGATACATACGAATGATTATCGAAAAGCTTTTTAATACGTGAAATACGTGATAATTATGTGGATTTTGGACAGATAGCTAAGAGCAATTCGTTAAACATGAGTGTATCCGTTAGAGATATGCTCTAGACGCAATGTCCTGATTTGCCATAGACTATTTATTTATATTCATACAAGTTAGTTGCAAGTATGCATTTTAGTATAAGACGGAATACTATTCCATTGAGATATAGTGAAAGTTACTGAAATCAGTTAAGCCTATGTGCCATATTTCTAGGTGATGTGGTGCTGCAAGATGTATTCGGCTAAATAATTTTTCACAAGATAATTAGTAGTGATTGATGCTCATGTGATTATCAGGGAGAACAAAGGTTGTAACCAAGGGGAGTACACTCCCAACTCATGCCCATGATAATGGCTTGAACCTTAGTCAGCATTGGGGTAAATTCGACATTGATGTTCACAGTTTGCAGGAGATTTGCTCGACTGCTTATACTGATTATTTGCATGCATGATTGTGTCGCTTAACCTTCAATTAGACTGACAAGGGTTTGAGATATTTACTGAATGAGCAACTGATAGAGAAACATACTGGAATCATCTGTGATGGATGAAGATAACGAGAAAAAACTATTAAATGATAATTATAAGTCAATTTGCTGACCGATTTTGTTAATAGTTTCATCAATTTTATTAATTATATTACGTGATTGTCAAATCATCACAACGCTTTATGACGATATCCTGAAGCCATTATGCTTATCTAGCTATAGTGCTGATTGAGGATTAGCCATTGAAAAATAGGTACTGTTGCTTTGTGTGATTCAAAATTATCAGAAACTCGTAGCGCTAACGAATCCGAGCTGCCTGTTTTTATTACCAATAGTGATTTAAAAATATTCGTGTACATACTGTTAATTTTAATAATAGGCTCTGAAAGTTTAGTTATCATACTAGTGCAGTTGATAGTACCTAAATTTGTAAATTTCGTATCTAAACTATGTTCGTATTTTCGGCTGCTAATATGATAAACCAATTAATAAACCCATATACGTATAGTAAATACGACTATGATAGGTTTTTGATACACATTAAAGGCGATTGAGATGATTTTTAGATTTAAAACACATAGAGATATAATGCAACGCATGTACGGATCAGCTTAACATGCAGGTTGTTGAGGTATATGGCAAATTAAAAATAATAAACATGGCCAAAATGAAAAATACTTTTTTAAGTTGAGACGACTTATGGCATCTCATTTAGGAATATGAAGAGTTATAAACCTTACATAAGACGTTGTTGTAGTTAACCCAGTGATATTTATGTGAAGTGCTCAGGAAACGATCTGATCAACCTGATCGGAGACCTAAACACCAATGTCCGAATGGACAACATCGACCATGATGATATCACTGGACCACATGAACTGACTGGGAGAAACGAACGAGAATGGTAACAGATTTGCAAATCTATGTGCATTTAACAAATTGGTTATAGACGGCACAATATTCTCATACAAACGCATATACAAAGCTACATGAGTTTCACCGGACCTTGCTATAGAGAACCAGATAAATCATATTTACATTAGTTAAAAAGCTTAAAAAATCAACGGAAAACGTGAGAACCGGGAGAGAAGCTGATATAACTACAGATCACCACATGGTGGCGGCAAAGATGAAGCTGAAGCTAAATAAGCATTTGAAAGTCGGAGAAACATCGTTACAAAGGTTCTATATAGCCTTCCTACGAGATACTGACAAACCCAACCTATCCAAGATAGCTCTCAACAACAGGTTTCAAGTCATACAAGATCTACTCAAAGAAGAGGAAACTACTATGGAGAACAGAAGACTCCGAATCAGTAGGCCTTAACACACATTAGGGCAAAAGAAAAATCCTCAAATACAACACAGAGAACACCCATTCATTCAAATTTGAGGGAGAAACTGTGCAAGATGTGGAAACTTTCATATACCTTAGCAGCGTCACTAATGAACAAAGAGAATCCGATGTGATGGTAACGATTACAAAACGAAGGGAGCATCTCTACAACTGATGAACATATGGAACTCGAAATAACTATCAGCCAACATCAAAAGCAGAATCTTAAAATCAAACATCAATACGGTCCTAGTGTACAGACCTGAAACTTGTAGAACTGCTACAACCATCATCAAAAAGGTCCAAGTATTTACATATACTTGTCTGCGCAAGATTTTCAATGTCTATTGACCGTCCACCATCAGCAACAACCTATCTGAGCAGAGGAAAAACAATTAGCTTCTAAGGAGGAAATTGTAAGAGTTTGTCTAGCGAGAAGGAATCATATATATATATATATATATATATATATATCTGTAAGAATTCGAGAAACTGTTTCTAGTAAAGTTCAGCAATCATCAACCGAACCATGTTATCGCTTACAGATACCATACCGCCTAATATCTATTTTTTCCATTTCATACTATTCATCGGTTGAATATCATCTTTGCAGTAAAAACATTAGCATTTTAATAGTTCATACGATTAGAACACCAACTAGTGTTTCACCAAACAGATCAGGTAAAATGACCGCATCGC